CAGTTATTCCAGTTGATATTCAGATAGTAGGAATTGTAATTCAGCTATTCCAATTGATTTTAAGAGAGTAGCATATGTTATTCAGATAACACAATTGATTTTAAGAAAGTAGCAATTGTAATTCAGATAGCACAATTGATTTTCAGAAACTTGCAATTGTAATTCAGAAAGTAGCAAATGTTTTTCAGATTAAATCAAATGTAATTCAGCCGCAGCAATTGTTTCAGGAACAGTGGGTTGCATACAGTAAATCGATGATAAATGAAAGTACACGTTATCTTTATTAACTAAGTAAATGAAATTTATATAAAGTACAAATGAACAAAATTCGGTCCTTACTTGCAATAAGTTGACAATTATGACAATTATGACAAATATACCTACTTAAATGGTGATAAATTTGTTTATTATTGTCAATTCCATGGAAACAAAGCAATATAGATTTTAGAAAATAAGTAAAATGAAGTATGAAAATGTTATAATTTGTTAATTTCTGAATTTCAATTGATATATTCTGAATTACAATTGTTACTGTCTGAATACTATTTGTAATTTCTGAATATCAATTGCTACTGTCTGAATATCATTTGCAATATCTGAATTACATCAGCTACTTTCTGAATATCATTTGAAATATCTGAATTACATTTGCTATTTTCTGAATTTCATTTGCAATATCTGAAAATCAATTGCTGCTTTCTGAATATCAATTGCTACTTTCTGAATATCAACTGGAAAAGGTGTAGTAGGATTTTCTTTTTCTTTCAGATCTTTTTCAGTGTTTTCGCCACTTTGTTTTATCTTTATTTAACAATTATTGTGGGAAAGCTGTTTCCACTATTACTTTTTGCTGAGTCTGCTTTAAGCATTTCAGAGTATGGTTTTAGAAAATTTTTGGAACATGTTCCTACCTTGATTAATTTTAGTTCTTCAATATCTTTGTTCATAGCTTCAATAGTTCCCATTAAATATGGAAGCCTTGCTAATAGCTTTCCACAGTCATTACAAATTAATAGTAACAACCTCTTTTGTAAAGACATACATTTTACTTCCGATGCAGTGAGGTTTATGCAGTTTTTATGTAAAACTCCAAGTCATGAATCGCATTTATAAAACTGATCATCATTAATCTCTTCCTTACATTTCAAGCAAATTTTCCCATTTCCATCCATTTTGTTAAGTTTCGTAGGCAAGGATCAAAAACATTTGCCTCACAGCAACCTAACCTTTAAATCAGCGTTTTGTTTTAACGTTAATATTTTGGGTATTTTCACTTTTTTATTTGGGTTTAGTAGTTGTTACACTACACCACTATAGTCTTTTTACTTTAATTATTCCAGTTTTTAACAGTAATAAATCAAGAGCAAAATATCGCACATGTTACACATTTGAGGTTAAATCATAGGTTATAAATAAAAATTATAAACTTCTCTAGGCTCGTGTTTTTATTAAACACTCGCTAGTGCTTAATAAAACTCGTAACTTAAATGACGTTTATAAAACTTAAAACATAATATACTATAAAACATAATTTTAAGAACTTTATATTCAAAATACGTTGTTAATGGTTTAAAATAAAAATATATTGAACTGTCAACGAAATTGGTTATGTTCGTATTTCGTGGAACGCATCCTTCCACGAGGATTTTTGTAATACTTGGTAACATTGTAGAAATATTATTTTTCTAGTGGCATTATAACGGTATTTTACAAAGCATAATTCATAGCCACAACAATAAAAATAGAAATGTGATTTACAGAGCGATACCCATATTCCAATTAATTACAAAATCGGAATTTATCAATGTTTGTTCTTTAATATAATATTATGATTATTGTTTAAAAAGAAATATTTGTTTTTATAATCAATACTATTTGGCACATACGTATAATGTTTTTTTAATCAGGCATGATTGGAATTTAATTATATTGAATTAATGTATTAATTATTAAAATATTTAAATAATTATACACAAAACTGTTTGATATAAAAAAATAGTGAATAACAAGATAATAAAGCTATTTTAATATATTTTAAGCTATATAAATATGTAGATAAATTAATGTGTTTTCAGATTTTTTATAATAATTTAAAGTATTAGATAACAAACAGTTTTTATTATTATTTAGATATAAAAACAACTATGTTTTTTAAAAGTTTCTGAAGAAGTCACTGTGTAACGAAACAATTGTCAAAAATTAAATAAATCACATGAAACTTTAAAAAAAAAATATTGGTTCTTTTTATATCTACATAATAATATTAATATGGAGTTTCATCAAGTAAAGGTCGAAACAATTAAATAATTAAACAGGTATATGTGATTCGTTTTTGTTTTATGGTTAAATCCATTAAGCAGTAGTAGGTATATTTTGTTGTTTGTATAAATAAGAAGCAATAATCAGCAGAGAAGTGCTTCTTATTTATACAAACAAAAAAATTATGTGATTCGGATAATATTTATTTATCGATAACGATAACTGGCCAGTGAAAGCATATGTTTACCCAATACTTTATACAGATTAAAAATGATATTATTGATTATTATTATTGATTTTATTTAAAAGAGCATACTTTAAATATTATACATGTATTATGCCATGGTTTTCGGATTTATCCGAACAACCCTCGACTTTTTAAATACTGGAAATTTAAATTTTTCTATTATTTTGCTCACCGATGCGTTGTTGCATAAATACAGGGTGAGTCTTTTAACAGGAAACTTTGAAATATCTCAGTAAATAAGCATTTAAAGAAAAAAAAATTAAATTTAAATTAAATGATTCGGGGGAGGAAATAAATTAGTACCAAAATTATTCCCCATACTCCCCTTATAGGGAGGGCATAACTTTAATATTTCCAATGGAACACCTTAAAATTATTGCAGAATCATACCTAAACAAAAGAAAAATCGAACAAAATTGATTTTTTTTATTACAGCGCCATTTATTACAAATATGAAAAATTCTGTTCCATTTTCCATTTCCATTTCTTCTTAAAGTTACCCCACGCCCTCCCTATAAGGATGAGAGTATGGAGAATAATTTTGGTACTAACTTATTCCCCCCCTTGAATCATTTTTATTTTTAATTTAAACATTTTTTCGTAAAATGCCTATTTACTGAGATATTTTAAAGTTTCAAGTTAAAAAACAACCCTGTATATCTAAAATTTGTTCTCCCTATGCGATGTTTTTTAGTAATTGTAGTTAGTTAGTTTTGTAATTTTGTAGCTTTAATTTACTATACATTGACTGTTTAACTTAATTAAATTAATCTAGTGTAGAACTGGACAGTCTAAGCTCGAAGTCGCGAGCTCTGTTTCGCAGGAGCGTCGAGCACAATCAATCAGCGTATATTCGCATGTTATTTTATTAACTATGCTACAAACCTAGGGCTACAAAAAAGTAAGTGAGTTACAAAGTTTTAATTCCTTTTAAATTGCGATTTTAATAGACATATTTTTTATTAATTATATTATTATACGAGAGATAATGCAGGCTATTATTCACGAGATGAGGTTTATCAAAGTGAATAATGTGCATAATCTCGAGTGTAGATAATTAAATGATTTTTAAAAATAAATAATTAAAATTTGACATCTGTCAAATAGTTAACCTTACTTTTTACCCCCTTTCAGTTTTCCTACGTATTCCGCAACTGCACAGCAGTTTCTGTGTTTGATGAATCAGAATTTTTGCCCCGGAGGTTGTGGATGACAGTGACGATGGTTAAGGCCCCTCTCGGAATTTTGTCGCCGGGCCGGGCCATACGCCCGATATAGGCTAGTTGAGTAAGGGACATTTTGGTTTTTGTGGGACACTGACCCAAAACTAAGTACAATCCGGAGTCCCCTCAATCAGAGATTTAGTAATGACCCCATTCAATTGGGGTTCATAAATGGAGCTTGATTGGTTAGTACGCTAATTGGACTTGCTGGTCTTGTAGTACTTTTTAGTACTTTTTAGTACTCGGATTTCGGATTTGGTCATTTTCCACATAAGGTTTTTATGGGTGCTAATGTGTTCTTATCGGTCGCCGTCGATTTGTAAGAAGCGATACATCTGTGCGAGGATGTCGTGGAATGTCTAAAAACTCGATATCAGTAGCACCTACATTTAATTGGAGTTCATGAATGGGGCTTGGTTGGTTAATATGCTAAGGGGACAATCGTTTTTCTTGTGTTACTGCTTGTCCGTGTGCGTCCGTGTCACTGCGGAAATTCTAGAAAATTGTAATTTTATAGGAAATTTCAAAAACTATAAAATTTCAAGAACTTTTTTCTTAATAGCACAAAAGGGTTAAGGTTTTTTAAATATATTTATGCAACAGAGCACTAAAGAGCAAAATAGGGTTTTATAAAAAATGTAGCTCTAAATTACCAGCATTTTAAGAGTCTGTGGTAACAATTTGGGGTGTTAGGATCAATACGAAAACCAGAAAACATACAGAATTTAAAAAAGTTTAAACTCGTTTTAAAAAAGTATATACATGGTGTCCCAGAATATGTGGATTAAAAGTGCCCATTTTAAGGAAACTTTTCTAGTAAACAATATATTTAAAAATTATTCAATTACACCTTGTTCAAAAGTTATTAAAAAAACGATTTTCAGGGGCGTCCGTTATGGGCCAGTACCTCCGTAGGGGGGAACTCATTATTTTAATCTGAATCCGGGAGATTGCCCACATATTCTGGGACACCCTGTAAATAAACTATATATAGTTAATATATATATTAAATTGTTTAAAGCTTCATTTAAAAAAGTTCATTATCGACTTAATATTGTGTAATATTCTGCGAACCATAATATTTTTGCAATTAAATATGTTAATAAAAAATGTTTAAGCTTCCTTCTTAAGTTTTACTTACCTTTGCAGTTAAGGCTTATACTGCCTTCACATCAACTATCATAGAGTCTTACAAATAGAAAAATCTGAAAATTTGCTAATTCTACAATATTTTTATTATTTTAACTAATACGTATGTTATTTCTTTTTAGAGGAACAAATAAATCTATTTGATTTTGCTAACACTCCTCCAGTAATAACATTATTTGGAATGAATGGACTGGGGAATGAAGTAACAGATCTAACATTTGCACATCCGAATGTTCAAAAACTCCTCAAGGATAAAAACGAAAAATTCGACTCAGTTATAGTGGAGCAATTTGTAAATGACGCCATGAAATACTTTGCGTATCATTTTAACGCACCTTTGGTATCATTTAGTACTGTTGGAGCGAATGCTTGGGTCAACCCATTGGTGGGGAACCCTGCTCCACCATCATTTGTGCCTGAAATTTTTCTAAGCTACTCATCAAGGATGAGTTTTGTAGAGCGTCTAAAGAATACTTTGTTTAGTGTTATTTCCGAGCTGAATAGGCATTTGATTTTTTTCCCTGCTCAGAATAGGATATTGCACAAATATTACCCTGATGCGCCGGATCTTAAAGATTTGTTGTACAATAATTCTCTGATTCTATTAAATTCGCACGTCAGTACGAACCCCCCAGTTCCATTGTTGCCAAATATGATTGATATTGGCGGTTTTCATGTAAAGCCTGCCAAAACATTACCCAAAGACTTGAAGGATTTTATTGAAGGTGCGAAACATGGCGTTATTTACTTTAGTATGGGTTCTAATATAAGGAGCAAAGATTTTCCGGAAAAAATGAGAACCAATCTTCTAAACGTTCTAAAAAGCCTTAAGCAAAGAGTCATATGGAAGTTTGAGGATGAAAACCTACCCGGCAAACCAGACAATGTTTTAATCAGCAAGTGGTTACCACAAAACGATATACTAGGTAAAATATTTAATTAATAATTAATATGCACGATTATAAATTGTTTTATTCTTTACAGGACATCAGAATGTAAAACTTTTTATTACCCACGGTGGCTTACTAAGTACCACGGAAACAATATATCATGGCGTTCCAGTACTAACAATTCCAATATTTGGAGACCAAAAAATGAATGCCGCTCAAATGGTACTGCAGGGTTTTGCACAATCAATATATTTCGAGGACCTCAACTATGAAAACAAAATTCGCAATGCGTTGAACGAAGTTCTAACCAATCCAAAGTAAGGCAAAATCATATCTATTTGATGTGCTAAATTCGAATCCAACTTTAAAATTGACTATGGTTTTAAAAGAATTCTATTCAAAAGTAGAAAAATGCTTTTTGTTATATCAGAAAGCAGTTTTCCTTTTTAATTTTTTTTAATATGTTTATCCAAACCAATTTTAAAATTTTACTAAATGCTTTCCCAAAGAGAAGAAAGCATATGATGTGATGAAGTAATTCTGAAATTCGGATTCAGCACGTCAAAAGCCCGACAAATATAGTGTAATATTTTTTAATATATATATTTTAGATATGCTGGCATTGCCAAACAAAGATCAAAAATCATGCACGATCAACCCTTGAAACCTCTGGACTCGGCTATATTTTGGATTGAATACGTCATAAGACATAAAGGTGCTTCACATCTTAGAATTGCAGGGTTGGACTTGGCATGGTATCAGTACATATCACTGGACGTATATGTATTTGTCAGCAGTGTTAGCATTTTAATTGCATTAATATTAGTTAAACTTTGTAAGATGATTTGTTGTAAAAAGACTATAAGTAAGACTGATAAGGTTAAGAAAAATAAGTAGGTTAAATTAACCTGGTTAACAGTTTAAATTACTATTTTCCATAATTTATTTGTGTTAATATAAAAACTTTAAAATAATAGATAACTTTTATTAAGCCCTAAAGCCCACTTTAATTTCTTATTACCTATTAGGTATGAAGATGTGCAAGGAAGGTAATTTTTAAGTACTTATTGCTATAACTTTGGGAGTAGTTACTTTAAACCGAAGCATTGCTTACTATATTTGTAAAACCAGAACATATTTCTTATTATTATTAGGAAACATGGGCCGAAATCACCTTTTTTCGAAATAGAATATCGTAGGCCCTTTAAAAGTTATCATTGGTAATTCATATTACGTGTTTAAAATTTTAGCCAATTTAATTATTATCTTTAGCCTTCGCAATTACCTCGAAATTCAAAATATATTTATATATACATATATATATATATATATATATATATATATATATATTAGGGTGATTCATTTCCGCAAAGTTTTTGTTTTTTTTCGGTGCTCAAGCAAAATATTAATCTACCTATAGAAAAAAAAATTTTCACCAAGGTAGAGCTCTTAATATCAATTTTAAGTACTTGCAGTTTAAATTTAAAGTTTTCCCATTTAAAATGCATGTAAAAAAAATGGTTTTTTTTTCAAATTTCTAATGCTTACCCACCTTTGACAATATTGCAAATCGGTTTAATATACCTTATGGGGAATTTCACGCTCTTTAAAATTACTTTTGAGTTTTTTTTTGTAACTCGCATTGGTTCACCAGTAGGAGTCGTCAAAGGACAGTTTTTGAAAAAAATCTTTTTTTTTTATTTTTTCGAGCAAATTGCCAAAAGTAGTGAGAAAAAAGTGCTGATTCATAAAAAAAAAGTTATCCAACCAATATTTAATGAATTTACTGCCATTTTTATAACTGAAAACGTAAGAAATTGATAAATACCAACCTATAATGTTATTTAGATTGATTTTTTCTATTTATTATCATTATATTTCCCTATACTAAGAACTTTTTTAAAATTATTATGATTTCTCACTCATAATGAATATGAAAACAACACATAAATTCATAAAAAAACAACAAAACTTTAATTTCGCTTCAAAAAATTAAATAATCTTCATTTATATTTTTTTGCTATATTTTTATGAATTTATCTGTTGTTTTCATATTCATTATAAGTGAGAAATTAATAATTTTAAAAAACTTCTTAGTGTAGGGAAATATAATGATAATAAATAGAAAAAATCAATCTAAATAACATTATGAGTTGGTAATTATCAATTTCTTACGTTTTCAGTTATAAAAATGGCTGTAAATTCATTAAATATTGGTTGGATAACTTTTTTTTATGATTCAGCCCTTTTTTCTCTTTACTTTTTGCGGTTTGTTAGAAAAAATTTAAAAAAAAACGATTTTTTTCAAAAACTGTCCTTTGACGACTCCTACTGGTGAACCAATGCGAGTTACAAAAAAAAACTCAAAAGCAATTTTAAAGAGCGTGAAATTCCCCATAAGGTGTATTAAACCGATTTGCAATATTGTCAAAGGTGGGTAAGCATTAGAAATTTGAAAAAAAAAACCATTTTTTTTACATGCATTTTAAATGGGAAAACTTTAAATTTAAACTGCAAGTACTTAAAATTGATATTAAGAGCTCAAACTTGTTGAGAATTTTTTTTTCTATGTGCAGATTAATATTTTGCTTGAGCACCGAAGAAAACAAAAACTTTGCGGAAATGAATCACCCTAATATATATATATATATATATATATATATATATATTAGATACCCAGACAGCAATATGACGTCTTAATGAAGTCTGCATAAGCTCTATTTTATGATTTGGACGTCAAAACAACATCAGAAAGAAGTTTTTAAGAAGTTCTTAAGACTTCGAATGCGCCACCTATTGAACTAATCAAGACTTCTCAAAAAAGAACTCTTGAGGAACCCTTTTCTTTGACTTCGCAATTAAGCATTTTAAAGAGTCCTACTGTATAAACTTATAAAAAGACTTCTTTAGAATTTTCCGTTTTGGATATAGAAGTACTACTAGGGTACTGATGAAGAAATTGCATACTGGATCGTTACTTATTATGACATGTCAAGTTTATTTTAAAATATAATATATATAATATTAATTTTATTAATTTGATTTGATTTTATTAAAATCATTTTAATAATTTGCTCGTATTCGCTTATTTTAGGAATTGCGATTACTTCGTCTCACTTTTGTTTAAATTCAAGCGTGCTCTTCACCGGCACCGTAGACGGCCTGTTTCGCTCTTTTGGAGCTCGTCAGTATCGGGTAGCCGTTTACCTAGGTCTAAGACCGTTTGGTATGGACTCCATACTTTGGAGCACGCTCTAAATTCCACTTCGCCGCTTCTTATATCAAACACAAGCAGTTACAGCGGTGAGAAGAAAGTAATCGCATTAAAATGTCATAAATGTGACGTCTCCATGTTGACTTCTAAAAGAGTTAATAGTATGATTTCAATTGGAAGTAAGAAAAAAGAATACTCAAAATAAATTGTTCAAAAAGAGGTCAAGAAAAGATCTTCATTTGTACGTAAAAAAATTGACTTCTTATTTATGAGTTCATTAACAGAATTCTGAGCTCATAAAAAGGAGCTGTTTAAGACGTCATGTTAGAACTTCTACACAAAGTTGTTTAAAAGACTTCATACTGAAATCTTTCTGAATTGGATCAAAAATTATGCACGATTAACCCTTGAAACCTAACGACTCGGCTATATTTTGGATTGAATACGTCATAAAACATAAAGGTGCTTCACATATTAGAATTGCAGGGTTGGACTTGGCGTGGTATCAGCTGATACTAGTACATATCACTGGACGTATATGCATTTATCAGCAGTTTTAGCATTTTAGTTGCATTAATATTAGTTAAACTTTGTAAGATTGTTGTAAAAAGAAAAAAAGAAAGACTGATAAGGTTAAGAAAAATAAGTAGGTTAAATTCCCGAGCAACAATTCCAATCCGAGGCCGATCCGATTTTCCCTACAAAATATCCGGTACGCATCCGGTATGGAACCGTGAAATCGGATCTGGCTAGGGCAGGATTTGTAACGCTCGACCCGATTCGAAACTAGTTGGCGTCATCTGGCCCTAATCGGGGCACTTCGATCTTGGCCTGATTAGGCATCCTCAATGCGGCTCTGATTAGAAAAATCGTATCCGAATCGGAAAAAGGCTATCTAATGCGGACCTGATTGGGAAATCTACATCCTAATATCCCAATAACCCCATATCCCCAACCGGGCTGCCTGATCCGGCCCCAACTAAAAAAAATTATATTACAACCCAATCGAAATGCCTAATGAGACCCTGATTAGAAAATTCATATCCTAATATCCCAAGACAGACCGTCCTGATCCGGCCCAAATGAAAAATTTATATTTAAACCCAATAGAAAGGCCTGATTCGGCCCCGACAAGAAAAATTTGAATTACAACCCAATCGGGCTACCTGATTCGGCCCCGACAGGAAACCCAATCGGGCTGCCTGATCCCGACCGGACCATAATTTCCTCCACTTTTCCCTAACCAGACAGACAGCTTGGGGACCAATGACTAATAGTGACTTTGTCAAGGTCAGTGACACGAGTTCCTTAATTGGGCAAAATTGGGGGAAATTATGGTCCGGTCCGGAGAAGGCAAACTCTACTCTTGCCCTAAAGTGCTGGTAATATATAACCAGCCTTTCATATGTCACGGTAACATATTAAAAGAATTTTAGGGCGAGGGAAGGGTTTGCCTATTCCGGACCGAACCATAATTTTCTCCACTTTTCTCTAATTAGACAGACTGCTTGGGGACCAATGACTAATGGTCATAGTGAGTTAATCCAACTTCGTTTATATACCTTGGCAAGAAAATAACACGAGCGAGAAGTATGCACTTTTCGAGTATGCCAGCTGCGTTACATATTTAAATCACTTTAGGGTGAGAGTGGAATTTGCCTTCTCGGACCGGATCACAATTTCTTTAACTTCGTTTATATACTTCGGCAAGGTCAGTAACTGGTAAACTGATCAGGGCCGGATAATAATTAAAAGGGCATGACCCAATAGGACACCAGTAGAGCTTGCCTATTCCGGACCGGATGGTAATTTTTCTGATCAGGCAATCTAGTCCGGGCCGGTTAAAAATTAAAATGGCTTGCCTTGTAGGGCAAGAATAGAGTTTGCCTCTTCCGGCCCGAACACTAATTTCCTCTACTTTCCCATAACCAGGCAAAATAATCAGGGCCGGATAATAATTAAAAGGGCCTGCCCTAATAGGGCAAGAGTAGAGCTTGCCTAATCCGGCCAAGGTCTTAATTTTCCCAAACAAGTGGACCAGGGCCAGACAATAACTTTTCCAATAGGGCGAGAGTAGAGTTTGCCCCTTTCCGATCGGACCATAATTTTTTACACTTTGTCCCAATCCGGCAGGTTTATCAAGGCCGGATAATAATTAAAACGGCTTGCCTTATAGGGCAGGGCGATAGTAAAGTTTGCCTTTTCCGTGCCGGACAATAATTTCCTTTATTTTTCTCCAATCCGGCAATCTAGTCCGGACCATATAATAATTAAAAGGGCTTGACACAATAGGGCACCCTTAGGGTTTGCCTATTCCGGACCGGACTATAATTTTCCTGATCAGGCTGTCTATTAGACAGTGTCTAATCCGGGCCAATAATAACTGAAAGGGCTTGCCCTATAGGGCGAGAGTTGAGTTTGCCTCTTTCTGGCCGTACCATAATTTTCTCTACTTTTTCCCAATCCGGCAGTTTAATCCGAGCCAGTAAGTAATTAAAAGTGCTTACCTTATAGAACAATAGTAGAGTTTGCTTCTTCTGGACCGGACTATATCTTCCTCTACTTTTCCCTAATCAGGCAGACTGGGCAGGACTGGAAAATAATTAAATGGGTTGCCTTATAGGGCGAGAGTAGACTTTGCCTAATCCGGGACGGACCATAATTTCCTCTAATATTACCTAATCAGGCAAAATGATTAGGGCCGGATAATATTTAAAAGGGCTTCCCTTATAGGGCGAGAGTAGAGTTGGCCTCTTCCGAGCCGGACCATTATTTACTTCACTTTCCCAATCCGGCAGTCTAATCTGGGCCGGATAATAATTAAAAGGGCTTGCCTTAATAGGGCAAGAGTAGAGCTTGACTTATCCGAAACGGACTATAATTTCCCTAATCAGGCAGCCTGATAAGGGCCGGATGGATTTCCAAAGGGTACTCCTTATTAGGGATATAACAGGGTTATCCCATTTCATACCTGATCTTAGATGCCTTAATAAGGTTTTACCTATTTGGGCCTGATCCGGACCACATATGATTTCCCGTATAGGGCACCCGGATCCATGCCAGATCAGGGCCCTGCCACTTAGGGCTTTCCCAATGGGAATCGTTGCCCGGGTTAACCTGGTTAACAGTTTAAATTGATATTTTCCATAATTTATTTGTGTTAATATAAAAACTTAAAAATTATTGATAACTTTTATTAAGCCCTAATCACTTTCATTTCTTATTACCTATCAAGCAAGGAGAAAAACAGTTATTTTTAAATTAAGTACTTATTGCCAGTGGCGGCTGGTGGATTTTGGGCACACCCATATCTCAGTTTTTAGACATGGGACCCACATCAAATTTATATGAGTTTACAATGAAATTATATAGAAAAAAGTTAGTTTTTAAGTGTGCCCCCCAGCCTCCTGCCCCCCCAAATTAGGATAATGCAAATTAAAGTGGTACAATATTTAATTCACTGAAGTTTATCGACAAATTTCAAATTTTATTAAAAAATTTTAAGAATTACCGGTTTTATACCATTTTATTATTATTATTATTATATTATTTTTATTATTTCTTTTACTTAATTAAAAAAAAAATAGTAATGGTATAAAATCTGTAATACTTTTTTAATAAAATTTGAAATTTGTCGATAAACTTCAGTGAATTAAATATTGTACCACTTTAATTTGAATTTTCTTAATTTGGGAGGGCAGGAGGCTGGGGGCCACACTTAAAAACAAACTTTTTTTCACAAACTTCAATTTAAATTCTGCTTGCGCTGAACTTGTTTATATAATGTCATTATAAACTCATATAAATTTGATGTGGGTCCCATGTCTAATAACTGAGATATGGGTGTGCACAAAATCCACCAGCCGCCACTGCTTATTGCTATAACTTTGGGAGTAGTTATTTAAAACCAAAGCACTGATTACCTTATTTGTAAAACCAAAACATATTTCCTAATATTATTATGAAATATGGGCCAAATTAACCTTTTTTGAAATCCAATATCGTAGGCCCTTTAAAAGTTGTCATTGGTAATTTATATTTTGTGGTTAAAATTTTAGCCAATTTAATCATTATCTTCCGCATTCGCAATAACCTCTAAATTAAAAAAAAAGTCCAAAAAACAAGCATAATTATTTAAGTTTAATGGGACAAAAGTGCACATTTCTCTTTGCACAAACTCCGCCGTGTAACTTGGCGGGAACGCCTTATGCACAATTGACGTAATTTGGTAAAGTTTAAGTTAAATTGTTTAACACGTGTTTGACAATGCAGCGGCGCGTATTCAATATTTACTTTAAAAAAATTGTTAAAAACATTTTTATCTATTTGTTCAATTTGTTGTACATCGTATCGCAAAATTGAAGGTAACAAAGTAGTATAATCTTAAGAGGTACCTTTTAATTATATAAATTTTTATACATAAATACGTATATTTTACCTGTATAACATGCTATTTTTTAACTGAAGGTAACCAAGTAGTATAATTTTAAAAGGTACCTTAATTATATAAATATACCTAAATACGTGTATAACGAAAATGAAATATTAAAAAATAAATTTCATCCTGATATGCTAAAACCTCAATTATATGGAATTATAAAAAAACATTAGGACACATTAACTTAATACGCGCAAAGAACGTAATATACAAGCACTCGCAATGTATACATCGATGTAGACTAGGACCCAGTCACTGGGTGCCAGTGTTGCCAACCTCAAAATAAAAATTATGGTACACATTTTGAAAAAATATGGTACATTATGGTACGCACCAAACAAATATTATGGCACAAATTATGGTACATTTTAGGACTTTAAAATTCAAACAACTAGGCACTTTAAGAAAAGTCATATTTATTTTTTTTAACACAAACTTTGATAAAATAAAATAAATCACATTCATCACAGTCTTGATTATTGAATAAATTATCTTTAGTCATGTATTAGCACATTTTTTCTGAGGACTTAAAATTTATACAATTTTTTAAATTTTTATACCGCTCGAAAAAACCACAGAGGTAAAAAACAAAAGTTTGAATAGAAAAGAACATAAACTGCTGCTAACCTATATAGTATATATATATATATATATATATATATATATATATATATATATATATGTATATATATGTATATATATGAATATATATGTATATAGAACATTAATTTTCGTTAACAGCTGTTTATGAAAATTTAATACTATACTGGCAGGACTGATCGCAACGTTGCCTAATTTATTTTCGGTGCAAAAGCATGCTTAAAAATTATAATACCTAAATTATTTTAAAACAATATTGTAAAAAAAATTATGGTACAATTATGGTATTATGGTACGCTATAAAAATGGAAGGTACCTACAGACCTTTAAAATTATGGTACAAATAATATAATTATGGTACGGTTGGCAACACTGCTGGGTGCCTATCTATCTATAAAAGTGAAACAACAAGATAGCGCTATATCCTTTTACTGGGCATGTAATTGGCTCACGTAAGAAACGTCTGCTATTGCATGTGATGTTTATTAATTCCTCTTGGTTAGAAATGTGCACATTTCTAACCAAGAGGAATTAATAAACATCTTATGCAATAGCAATGCCATGGCATGGTTCTATTGCGACGATATTTCTTTAAACATCTGCTGAACTCTATTGACAGATTTTGCAAGTGGCTCCTTATTTAATGACTAAAAAATCAAAAAAAAAATTAATATTCTTAAACTGGTCATATTTAGATTTGTCAATGAAATGTCTACTCTCGAAATAACTCTTCCCTTGGATGGCCAGCGCACTTCAAACAACAGGGTCTCGTGCTCACTGCAAATAGGTGCAAAAATAATTATTTAGTTTAATCTTTACAGCATTTTTTAAAGTAAAGTTTAAACTGCCTCTTCAGTGTGTCCATTTTGGTTCTGGAGCTACATCTCTGGCACCATCAGCATATTCCCACATGTTTCAACCAATCCAAATTGCTTTCTTTAACAAAACCGTTCACCAACGAAAAATATAAGTATATCTAAAGTACTGTACATGTATATGGTTCAAATTGGAAGGACAAGACAAAACATAAATCCTTCATGAACCTCATGAACAAAAAGGTTTACTTTAGTTTACGATTAAATGACAAAAAGATTGCATTAAACTAAGCAGAAATTAAAAATAGAGACATTACTTTGTACTGAGTGAAAAGAAAGTCAAAAAGGGACGAAATTGTAAAAGGACTGACTAGCCCCATAGAAAAATTAATTAATTTATTATCGTCTAATCCTGTTTTTTTTCTACCCCTATTACGGAATTTCACCTTTCTACTATTACTTTTTAATGTGAAATTGCATATGGATAACGCTTATCGAAAAGGAACCAAGCCCCAAAAACTTTTTCTGGGCTTAGTAAAATTATTTGTAAATTAACGCATATTTAATAATGCTCACAAGGTTAATCATCATTTGGAACTTTTCTCAAAAGGATTGAGAAGGTTCCCAAATCAATATTAATTTTTTGAATAATTTTGTTTATCCAAGAAAAAGTTTTTGGCGCTTGGTTCCTTTTCGATAAACGCTAATAAATTCATTATAACACCGGATGACGAAATAAACACTGGTGGCTTTGTGTTTATTATCTAACAACTTCTAAAATATTTTATATTAAAATATTTTTATATGGTATTTTATGAAAACGTAAAAAAAGTATAGTCTGAAACACATTTGGAATTGCATATTCCGCTCTCGTGAAACCGTCAAACTAGCCTTCGGTTCGTGTGACAAACTTTTTACTCTAGCGTAATATGCTGTATGCTTGTTACAGAATATACTAATATATTATTGTGTTTATTGTGTTTATTCATTGGTAAGTTAAAAAAAAATATTTTTATTAAACTCTTGCTTTATGCACGCGTAATGAAAACAAATCCTAACCTTAAATAATATTTTGTATACCTACTCTTTGTTTTTGTTGTTTCTTTTGCCTGTTATACCATTCTATTAATTTTATAGTAATTTTAAGTTTGTACCTTGGCACTCCGAAATCACCACATGCATAAAAGACACATTTATAACGTTTTTATATTTTTTTAGTTAGTTTTGTAATTACTTTTTTCCAGTTTACTATTTTACTGGATTCTTCAGTAACTTTTCCCAAAACAGTTACCTCAGTTTTTCAAAAAGATATGGCTAAGGAAATATACGTGGACTAAAACGTTTTAGGACTTCAACATTCCAATTAAAATTTTTGTCAAACTCTTTAAAATATATAAAACGAAGCGTTTCGATAGTTAATGGGAAGTTTTTTCTTATTTCATAAAAATAAACTCATCTAAAATTTGTTTGCAATATTAATGAATTACCCTGTATTTTTTATATTTTTTGTATTAACAGTATAATAATAAATACATTTTAGTCACATTGGTCTCCACCTCATAACTAAATTGTATCCCATAGTGCGACCATAATTATTTATCTGTCTATGATGACCTTGCTCGAGTGTTTAAAATGAAAGGAGATCCTTACTATAGTGATGTATACGATGCGATCAACAAGTGGGCTGTTTGTTTTTGTAGCATTCTTGATCGCGTTAACAAAATGTTCGCGTTTATTGGTAGTGTTTCCCATGGAGGCACCAAGTCACTATAACCTTGGCAGTAGTTTGGCAAAAGGATTGGCGGAAGCTGGACATGATGTCACTATCATTGCTTCTTTTAAGGAGAAGAGCATTACAAAGGGATTGAAGTATAGAGAAGTTTATCTCGATGGGTTTTATGAGGAAAGAAAAAGTTAGTACCAAAGTTTTTTTGCTTAATTTAATTTTTTGTCCGTTAAGGTTAAATGTAATAGGTGTATTTTAATTACGAGTATGTTAGAAATAAAACTAATTATATTGCACACGCCAATTACAAATAGTTTAGGTAATTCTACATGAATAGTTGTAATAGTGGGTTATTTTATTCTTATATAAAATTACTATATTAATTTTAAAATTATACGCAGGCAAAGAACACTGATTTAGAGGTTTAGGAATTCGAATGTTTACGTTATCGGCAAGCCGTCGAAGGCGGCTCGATTAGGTAACTTGATACTTCGAAGAGACCGTTCATACTTTTCATAAACAAATCGACCCCAAGTATTAAGCGCATTTTCTATAAGATCAGTCTAAAAGTCGCAGTGATCTGTTAAAGTAACTTGTGTTGTTTTATGTGCTTTGTTTTGGATGATTTAAGAAGTTTGAATATTTTGGTGAGTTTTCTCACAGAGCGTACTAATTTTATTTTTAATATTACCATTTTAAAATTATTCATTTACCCATTGTTTCTATTTATTTATCTAATATTTATTAAGGGTTTATACAGGCTAAACCTATTAAATTATTTAACAGTATTAAATAAAAACTAAATAGATAATAAACTAGAAATCATTCATTAGCTAGCATTTAAAAGGTTATTTATAGACTTAAGGCATTTAAGGATAAACGGCACTGTCTTTTCAGTGTTTAAACCTTTTAGGTTTGGGCTAACTATCTGGTGACAGGGTACCTCGCGCGTCATCCCTTGGTACTCACTGCACGTTCACTATAGTTAGTGCTATTGTCTAGAGTGGGTACGTCGCGCGTTTTCCCTTCGTACTCGTGTGCACAAATAATTATACTCTACATTAGCGAGTTTGTCATTATAATATATATGTAAATATATATACTTGTCTTGCGTATCTTTTTGGCTGCTAGTTGAATTTCCCAGATAATCGATTGACTGATAAACAAGATTAATATTGAAAATCAAGAATATTCTCAAAAATACAATAATCATTATTAAAACTACCAATTATACTAGAAATTAGTTGCTCAGGTATTTTTTTTTATTTAGTTTCAGAAGTGTCACCCGACTACTCGACATCTTGACTTATTGTTTAGTATAAAATCAAATTAGTTTGTTTGTAAGTAGTTCATTTTTATTATTTTACATTTATTTTAATATATCTTTATGTATTTTGCTTTTAATTTTATTCTGCGCCCTAATTTAAAATTTTTAACCCCACATAGTTTCGACTGATACAATACTTGCTCGGCAGATAACCACCAGACCCCTATTCTAGAAGTCTAGTGCTTGCTTAAGTAAATAAACGTGTCGAATGTCTTATAATCAATAATAATAGTCACTAGATTTCACCGGCCACACGTTAAGAGGGCATTCCTGTGAACTAATATTTTAATACCTATTACCAAGAACAATCATTTCTAATAAGTAATTTTCATTTGAAATACTTATTACCCGTACTTACAAACCAAATTCAATATACTCGTAAAAAATACTCGTGGAATTTACGAGTAATATATAAGAGTATTTCCGCGTATTAAACGCGTTTATTATATCGATAACTTTTTGCCAAAATATCGCAAGCAACGAAATATTTTGTTTTGAAGTTTGTTTTAAATTATATAATTTATAGTATATTATAATATAACCTATAGGTTTTATAAGAAGTAAATAGCTAAAATTATAAACTATTTACTTGTTGTAAAACCTATAGGCTATAATATAGTATATTTAATAGTTAGACTTTAAAACAAGAAAATTAAGTCATTTTTGTGTTACTTTGGCATTTCTCTATGTAATAATACATCTTTTGCTATGTAGAAGGTAAATAGAAAAATATTCGCAAATTTTGGTAACTTGCATTTCTGTTCCTTCCTTTTTATCCGTCAGCAAACCGTATTTTTGACAGTTTTTAATAGGTTTAAATTGACAAGAGTGGAATTGTTAATAATTAACAATTCCAATTATTATATTAACTAACATTTTTTTTTCAAAAGCACTCGTACTCTTTACTTGTGTTTTCACGATTACTACTCGTAACTGTAACATCTCTTTACAAATGTACTTACGAGTACATATTTTAAGTACTCGTAGTTAAAATTTTACGAATACTTTTTTTAGTACTCGTGCCCAGCTTTGGGTGTATCACAATGTTCTACCACAAACATAATGAATTAGAAGCGTTAATTCAAAACCAGACAAATATACTTAAATTAGTTTCGAGAAAAATTCAAAATATTTGTCTTTTAAATTATCATTTGTAAAGTCAGAATTAATTTTACTTAAATATTATGCGTTTGTACTCTGTCTAGCGCACTTGCCTGTTCTGTCCTTTCTCCTCTATATATAGCTTATAAGCATAATTATAGAGGAGAAAGGACAGAAGTATAACCTATAGGTCCGTTTTATCTGAGCCCATTACATTGTTATTTATGATAAAATTAGTTTAGAACATTGTATTTTATAATAATATTAAATGTAAAAAATATGATTGTTAATACAATCATATTATATCTTTTACTAGTCTTTTTATTTTATTTTTTAGTATTATTTATTATTATAACTATAACTTAGAATTATTATTCTAGGTGCACTAAATAATGTATAGATAAATAGCAAGTTTGTTTAAAATAATCTTTTATAGAAGATCAGATAAGTCAAGTAGGTATATATATATATTTGGCCAGAAATTGGTGTTACAGTTATTGATTTATAAATTTATTTACTTAAAAAATATATCAATTTTAAAAGTAGTCTTAGCCCAATGACTTTAAATTTTAGTTTAATGGCTATACATTTTTCTTTGTGTTCGTTGTAGATAAAGTATAGTATACAACTTTTTATAATCTTCTCTAGACATTTGTTTTTATTAAACACTCACTCGCAAGTTTTACTTGGGCCTAATTAAAAGTCGTGACTAAAATTGCGTTTATAAAACTTAATACTGAATACAACTAACAACATGCGATGTATTATAATACATTTTGTAAGTAACAAAATTTCTGAAAAATTAAGAAATCAATTTTCAGTTTCAGTCATGTAAGTTATAAGTTATAAGGTTTTAACTCAGTTGTCCCAAGTTAGGTTTTCAATCACGAGTTGTTTATATTTAAATTATTAAGTTTAGTGTTATAAAAGTAATGGCCGTGTGCAAAGAAATGTTTAGTACTAGTTAGTACTTGACTAAATTTTTAAATATGGCAACGCTGTATGTCAGAAATTTTAAATTCTCTAATGTGTACTTTTGAAGTTAATTATCGTTTAAAAAATGGTTTATCTAGAGATTCTACAGGAAGGTAAAAATATTAATTGATTTTTTAAAAAGAAAATAAAAGTTAAACCAAATGAAATCTTTAATAATCGTTTAACGACAATGACTAATATTTATTCGACGATTAATTTATAATTAACCAACGATATTTTTACCTATCTAAAATAATAAAATAAATAAATAAAATAATCGTTTAACGACAATGACTAATATTTATTCGACGATTAATTTATAATTAACCAACGATATTTTTACCTATCTAAATGAATTACTTACATAATATTTATTGCATGTTAATCAAGCACCGATCTTTAATTAAATTTTAAAATTTTTATTGGTTTAAATTAAATCAGGTGCGACGTGTCGCACAGTGAAAACATGACCAACAATTTAAAACCTAATATTGGCAATATAGGTCCACAGATATTAATTGCCAAAGGGATTTCGCTAGCTTAGCTCAATAATTGAGCTAAGGTAGCAAAATCCCTTAATTATTAAGCTAGTTATAATAATTAGTTATAACTAGTAATACCAGTCTAGTATAATCGATTTCCATTTTATCAAAATTTATTTTATGATAAAAATTTTGACAGAATCGTATTCCTCGGCTCGAAATACTTTTTATACATGATTATCTACTAAAATTGAAGATTTTACTTTCCTCTACTAAAATTGAAGATTTTACATACATTTATATTTATCTGTAAGTAATAAATATTTATTTCTACCTATTTAAAATCTTCAATTTTATTATTTTTTACGAGGCGGGTATTAACAATTTCACATTATTTTTATCATAAAATGTTAAAACTTATTACCTATTATACTAATTATTATAAACTAGCTTAGTAGAGCTAAACTAGGGAAACCCCTTTGTTATCGATTTCTAATTTCAAAAATGAAATGTTAAAAGTAAAAATAAAAGAATATACCGATGACTTTCTGCCAAAGTATCGCCAGCAACATAACAGAAATTTCGGGAATTGAAAACATTTTTTGTTTTAAAGTCTAGACAGACGTCTTTTTTAAACCATATAAAACCTGTAGGGTTTATAACAAGTAAATAGATATAATTATAAGCTATGTACTTGTTATAAAACTTTTATACTATATTTAATTTAAAACAGACTTTAAAACAAAAATTGTTTTCAATTCCCGAAATTTCTGTTATGTTGCTTGCGATCCTTTGGCAGAAAGTCATCGATATGGACTATGCTTACTCTAAAAGGATATAATTCTCTATTGGAAACACTTGTTATGATATAGAGAATTTTTTGGGTTTACAGCAAGTAAACAATTGCTCGCATAAAAACATTTTTACAATAATAGTAGTAAATAGGTAATTAACTTAACGGCTATAAAAAAATGTAACCCCCTTTTTTTCTTAAAAATGAATAATATTTAAAAATATTAGGTAAATATACGAGGTGTGTTCAGAAAATAACGGGAGCTGTTAAATTTCGCGGGTTCGGAGGCACGTTGGTACATTTGGCGTTTTCAACTTAAAAAATATATAATCTTCCAAACAATTTTTTTTTAAATAGTGATAATATTAGCTTTACTTTGCAAGAAAAATTAAAATCGCGTATGTAGCCGTTGTGAAGATATACACTTAAATGTATTTTTTATAAATTAATTTGCAATAGTAAGCTTAGTCTCGGTGTATCGCCACTTATGTTGAGGTCTTTTGGACATTTTCTGTTTCAATGGCTTCACTGATGGTACGTTTGGTTCTGTATTCGATGCTAGCCAAGACCCTTGTTTTTTTTAAGTCAATTTTCCAATATAGCCAGCAATAGTCCTTCGGAGGGGACTTTAAGCCGTCGGTCCGTTCCTACCCCTAACCCGCACAAGCCATTCAGTTGGCTTATGGGACATCTTAGTTTGGATGTAAGGGTGGAACTAAAAGAGCACTTTATAACTTTATAACTTTATAATAGCCAACTTATTCATGGAAGACATAGTAGTATGAGCAATTGAAACGGCAACACTAAAATCAAAGTTATGGCTACGATACGTAGAAGACACATTTGTCATCTGGACCCACGGAGAAGAGGAACTGAAGAAATTCCTGGACCATCTCAACAGAATTTCAAAATGGTTAAGTTAACAATGGAAACCGAGAAAAAACACCAATTACATTTTCTGGATGTCTTCATAATCAAGAAAAATAATGGCAAACTTGGGCAGAAGCACAGTCACACCACCACCCGTCACAACTGCAGTCAGTCATTAAGACACTTGTCACGAGATCCGAAAGGCTGGCGGATGATAACCACAAGAAACAAAAAGACCTGAAAATCCAAACGAGGCTACAGCAAAACGTATTCTCCAAAACCATCATCAAAAAGGCTCTTAGACCACGACGCCGGTTAAATACCAAAGAGGACTAATACAACAAACCAACTTCGTAGACCTTCCTTCCCTACGTGAAAGGGACAACCGAGAGAGTAGGCAAAGTTCTCAAAAAACATAACATTGAGACAACATTTACCGCCCCAAAAAAGATCGGTCAAATACTTCCAAACGCCAAACCAAAAATAGAGTTGGAGGCACAAGGGGTGTACGAAATTCCTTGTAAGAATTGTGACGGAAGCTACGTGGGACAGACCAATAGACGTATCAACGTTAAACTCGAAGAACATCGTAACGCAGTCTTGGCTAGCATCGAACACAGGGCCAAGAAACCTCAACACAAGAGTCGATACACAGAGACTACCAACTGCATAAAAACCAGCTCTCACAACCACTAAAACGCCACGCAAATTAACGAGATTAATGTTCTGCTTTAGGTTTTCACGGGCGTTATATGTATTGATGGTTTTCCGGGATCTGCTCTGTGTTGTCGGTTTTTGTTTCTTAAAAGAACCGTATATCTGATGACGTTTCGATACAATCTCATGTACCCTCTTTAGGTCTTATCTACTAGGCTGCTATTGCGGCTCTGCTGCTTTAGGTTTCCACTGGCGTTATATGTATGAATTCGCAGCAGAGCAGCAACAGCAGCCCAGCACATAATACCTAAAGATGGGACATAAGATTGTACCGAAACGTCGTCCGACATACGGTTCATTTAAGAACCAAAAACCGACAACACGGAGCAGATCCCGGAAAATATATATATATATTTATATATATATATACATATATAGCGAATTGCTGTGGTAATTTTCACTAGAACACATGTTAAGCTTACTGTTGCGCATTAATTTTTAAATAAAAATACATTTAAGTGTATATCTCCACAACGGCTACATACGCGATTTTAATTTTTCTTGCAGTAAAGCTAATAATATCACTATTTAAAAAAAAAATGTTTGGAAGATTATATATTTTGAACAAAATTTTTGGCCAAAAACAATACTGTAATGATGCCTCAGCCTCCAAAAATGCTTCTGTCTGACTTTTTCCTATTCCCAAAAATAAAGAGAACCCTAAAGGGCCGTCGTTTTGCAAGCATAGATGACATTAAAAGCGCATCGCTGAAAGAACTTAAGGGTATCCCAAAGATCGAGTTTTAGAAGTATTGGAAGAAGAGCTGGCAGTGCCAGCCTGGCACATGTGCATAATATACAATGGGGACTATTTTGAAGGCTACAACATAAATGTAGACGAATAAATAAATATTTTTTTCAAAAAATTAAAATTCCAGATGTTTTCTGAACACACCTCGTATTTGTAAAACTCATTTTCTTGTCAAAAATGGTATCGGCTGTTTTTTCGTAAGTAATATCATAAGGGCATCTAATTTTTCCGAAAAAAATCGAAAAAACCCGTTGCTATGTAATATTTTAACAAGAAGCATGAGTGCTGGTGGCAACAAAAATAGGAGTCGAAGACGAGAATTTTTGCACCTGCACGAATGCATTTTGTTCAAAAATATTACTTAGCATTGTGTTTTTTCGATATTTTTCACAGGAAAAATTAGATGCCCGAATGGTATTTGACAAGACTATTTCATGAGTAACAGTTAACAATTAAAATATAAATTGCAATTTTTGGTGACAACAGCTGTCAAGTTTTTTCGCGGGTAAACTCGAAAAAACTGCTGACAGGTGCTTTCACACAGTTTTTTCACCTAGAAACCATTTGTAATTCAAAATTGCGCGTTTTTGATTGGTGGAAATTAAGACGAGGGAAATTCATTCCTTACTCCAAGATGACAAAAAGGCTGCAAGGGGTTGATGGTCCAAAACTTGGATTTAAGCTTTCTATATAATACCCTAACGATAAAAAAAACTAGCCAATAAAATGCAATAATAAAATCTAAATATACTGGACTAGATATTGTTGTTAACTTTAGCCGAATATATTTTTTCTTTTGCGGTTTTAAGCCAAACTTTTTGCATATTTATGTTTTTTATCAGTTAATAAACGATTACAGTTTGATGTTAGCATTAATAAAAAACGACTACAAAATTATCGATTGTCCAACATTAACAAAAATATTTTTTTAATAAATGTTGCCTAAACCATACACATTAAATCATTTTTTGGTTTTAAAAGAAAAAACATTTAATTTAAATTTTTTACTCCATCCCAAACATACTTTAACCTTATGATTTCTCCAAAAGGAGAAAGAATATTAACAAAACTCAAAAAAGATTTTAAAGGAAAATAGAGCTTGCAGATTGCGAATTAAACATTATGAAGAAGAAATACTTTAAGAATATTGGGTAAACCTCCTTTTTTACTTTTTGGTTAGAATTTATTTAAAACATGATGTGATGAAGCAATGCTGAGTTTGAATTTGGATTAAGTACGTCAAACACCTTTGGAATATATAGTGCGGTTTCTGTTTAAACATTTTGTAAATATTCTCCAAAAATATTTTCTATAACAAACTAATTTAGTGGTTTTATTATTACTTATTTTTTGTTTCAGAACAATTTAAGGAAATGAACCTCTTTAAAATGACTAACATTCCAATGATAATGAGACTTCCCTTTATGAACTCCATGGGAAATGACATAACAGAACGAACTTTCGCTCATCCGAAAATCCAAAAACTCCTCGATGACCAAAACGAAAAATTCGACGCCGTAATAGTGGAAAATTTTATAAACGATGCCATGAAATATTTTGCTTACCATTTTAAAGCCCCCCTGATCAGTTTTAGTCCTGTTGGTGCAAACGCTTGGGTTAATATTTTGGTTGGCAACCCTGCTCCTCCCTCATATATCCCAAATGCTTTCATGGACTATTCTTCACAGATGACTTTTTTTGAAAGGGTTTTAAATAATTTGTTTGACGTTATTTCCAGTCTTAACACGCATTTAATTTTCTTTCCTGGTCAAAATAAGATATTGCACAAATATTTCCCTAATGCACCTGATATTAGCGATTTACTTTACAATAATTCACTGGTGCTTTTAAACTCACATGTTAGCACGACTTTTCCTGTACCATTGTTGCCAAATATGATCAATATTGGTGGGTTTCATGTTAAACCTGCTAAAACATTACCCAAGGATTTGAAGGATTTTATTGAAGGTGCCAAACATGGTGTTATTTACTTCAGTATGGGTTCCAATTTGCAGAGCAAAGATTTACCGGAAAATATAAGAAACAATTTGATGAATACTTTTAAGAGTCTTAAAGAAAGAGTGATATGGAAGTTTGAGGATGAAAACCTACCTGGAAAACCTAATAATGTTTTAATTAGCAAGTGGTTGCCACAAAATGATATTTTAGGTAAAATATGAGACATTTTTAAAACAATGATAATAATCTACATTCTTCACAGGACATCCAAATGTAAAACTTTTTATTACTCATGGAGGCTTACTAAGTACCACGGAAACAATATACCATGGCGTACCTGTACTGACAATTCCTATATTTGGTGATCAAAAAATGAATGCCAATCAAATGATTCAACACGGTTTTGGCCAGTCGATATCATATGAAGACCTAAATGAGGAAAACAACATTCGGACAGCAATCAATGAAATGTTGACCAATACAAAGTAAGACTTTTTTATTTCATTTTAAAAATTTATAGTATACATTTTTTAGATACAAAAACAATGCAAAACAAAGATCAAAAATCATGCATGACCAACCCAATAAACCCATGGATACAGCAATATTTTGGATCGAATACGTTATAAGACATAATGGTGCTCCACATCTTAGAACTGCAGGGTTGGACTTGGCGTGGTATCAGTATATATCACTGGACGTATATGCATTTGTCATCAGTGTTAGCATTTTAGTTGTATTAATATTATCCAAATTGTTTAAGATTTGCTGTAGAAAGACAAAAACTAAGACTGACAAAGTTAAGAAAAACAATTAATGTAGATAAAGACAATTATTTAAGTTTCATTATTATTACTCAAAGTTTAACATAATTAATTTATTTTTAAAGCTAAATAAAACATGTTTTTTATTAACATGTTTTAATTGTATAATTACATAACTTAGTCTGGATTTAAATTGTGGGAACAGAAATTTTTAAAATGGCTTACAAAATTTATTAAAAAATTGAGGTTCCCAAACAATACTTTTAAATTTCTATTAAATTTTAATTTTTATGGGAGTTTCTCTAATTTCCATAAAAAATCCCTTGTTAAAATGAATTTATTCAGTCATTTTTATAACTTTTTTTATCTTTACTTTAGAAGTTAAATTAATTGAATCAACATTAACCCTTTGGGTAAAAAATATATTTTTTCTGTATTTTTAGGTAACCATAAACCATAAATATTATTTGTTATTTATTTAATTATTTATTAATTAAAGGTGGCTTTAATAGTTTTTAAAAGAAAATCTATTGTTAAAATAATGCAGAGTTGGAGTGGAGTTTTTGAACCTTATATTATAAAAGGTGGTCCTCAAGCGTTTAAATTAGTTAATGGTGCAATTTGTAAGGCTCTCTAAAAATACTGTTATTATGTCTACTAAGATAAAAGAAATTAAATATTTTCTGTAGGAGCCCACTCTCTTAAATTGAAATAGTCAAAATTCTACTATTTGAATTAGTACCAACATTTTTTACTAATAAAATAGTCGTTTTCACTTTTAAATAGTTATTTTTTACTACTTAAATAGTTCATGTTTGACTAATTTATCATTTTTAACTATTTCTGAGAGTTAAAAGTAACTAATTTCTTTAATCGTTTGCGGCCAACAACAAATTATTGTTTGAGTGAAATTCATATAGGCTCCATGGTTAAATGGCCCATAAAAACAAACAAAGATCAAAAAGTTTAGCTTAAAACAGAAACACAAAAAATATATTCAATTTTAAAATATTATGAGCAATATTTATTGAAAAAAAATAATTTTTATAAATGTGAGTGATGGCTCATTGGGTATGGCATATGCTTGACAAGCGACGGACGTCTTCAACCAGACTTTCAACATCCCCTTCAAATCCAACCGTAGTACCATGGTGCTGCAGGTCTTTTTCTTAACTCTTTTCTATCTTTTGTTTATTTTTCCAAATTTTTTAAGGGGGTTTTTTGGTTTATTTTTCCCTCGAAAACATTCTTCTAAATTCTTAAACATCAACATTCTTATTCTGCCAATTTTTCAAGACTTTCATTCTCATTACCCGGATCAAGCTGGCCTCACATTCGCTCTGCGAGAAAAGGCCAGATAAACTCCATGCCAATAAAAAGAGCTTCGTACAAGGGACAAAGACCGTCGGAAGACTGCGCTGCTACCACCCGTACCACGCATCTTCACCGCAGGGAGGCTCAAGAGGTGGAACCACACTTCCACGCCACCACATTGCGGCCTGTATTATTTACTCTTTTTATATTGTGTAACTATTTAATTGACAAATAAATTGATTTTGATTTTGAAGCGACAGGCCCAAGTTCTAACCCCGGCTGGGTCAGAACTTTTTTTAAATTTAAATCTACTAATTTGACTATTTCATTCAGTAGAATTTGACTAATTACACAGTAGGTAAATGTTTAACTTTTGAAATATCACAGCTAAACGCTCGGACACTTAAACATAATTTTTGGTCGTAGATTTCAAATCCGTGCTCGGTTTAGCTGTATCAGGTCTAAAAAAGTTTTTCCTATTGGAAATGCGATCCGGGGACACACTGTATACTGGTATATTATAATTTGTAAAATAATATAATTCACCTCTTGTGCCAACAGGTTTATGCTTTTTATTTCATTTAATCCTCAATTATACTTAATTCAAAAAATCAGCAAAAAAACATTTAAATTTCCTAAATATTCTAAGAAAAACCCTTAGGGATACGTGTACCTTTTGATCAGTTAACTTAAAATTTTGCAAGAATTTGTTATTTTTCTAATTTGGAACTGATGTGTGGGTCCCGCCAAATTTAATTAAAAAAAACAGGGTGTTTAAATTTATATAGGGTGTTTCCAATATCTTTGAATTTTGACCTGATACAGCTAAGCCAACCACGAATTTGTAATCTACGACCAAAAATTAAGTTTACGTGTCCGAGCGTTTAGCTGTGATATTTCAAAAGTTAAACATTTACCTACAGTGTAATTAGTCAAATTCTACTGAATGAAATGGTCAAATTAGTAGATTTAAATTTTAAAAAAGTTCTGACCAAGCAGGGTTAGAACTTGGGAAAACGACTATTTTATTAGTAAAAAATGTGATATTTTCACCTCCCTACAGTGTTATTATTGACTGCTTTTTCGCTATGAAAATTAGTCAAATATGAAATTATTTATTTTTTTACTTATTTATATCATTTCTTTATACAAAATATTATCTTATACAGGGTTTTAATAATGGTTTTGATTTAATATTTTATTATTTTGTAATATTTAGTAAATATCATTGGAAACAAAAATTATTAGACACAAATAATTTAAAAATTAAAAAAAATCCTTATTGTGTTTTGTATTCACACGGGGATTTAATTTAAGGTTCTTATTAATAATAATAATATTGATATTAAGTATGATTTTCCCCCTTTTGGTTCTCCTACACAGGAAAAAAATATTTGTTAATTTTAACCAAGTTTTAACCAGATTTTATGTTAATCCAGGTCTACATAACTTTACGTTAAGTTTACAACCAACTGTAATCTGTTAACTAATTGAAAAAGTAGTTTGTAATTATATAACAAACATTTTGTAGATTTAATAACAAAATCCTATGTCAATAATTTAACCATAATTCTTGTAATTTTGTATTTTTACAAACTTTTTTGTAGACCCAGTAACAAAAGTATTTTTTTGGAAATTCGGAACCAAAATGAAAAGAATTTTGATAAAAAATATTGCTTTTTTAATCAATTTCCTAAACAAAAATATTAACACATACTTACATAACTGAACACAAAAAAACGTACACACAATTAAATAACATAATTCTGAAATCATAAAATTATAAAGAAATTTGGTTCAATATAATTTATCAGTACTCTACCACAATCCACAGCACTTACTGATGTAATTATTTCGACTCCGCTTTTCTTTAATTTCGTTCGTGTTCCTTTACTGGAACTCATCAGTACCGAGTCGAGTCGAAAGACGGTAGATGGCACCACTTACTTTTGTCTCACCGCAGTAAATGATTTCAAGACCTATATAAGGGCGAGGAATCATAATTTCGTATTGTCAATGGGAAATGTTTTAATTGACTTCCTGAAATCACGTACTTTTTAAACAAAATAATTTGTAACCTTTAAAATTAACAAAAGGCTTACAAAATGCATATTACCTTTACAAAACTTGGGTAAAATATTTTCCTTTGTTAAAATAATTACAAACCCTTGTTTTCTACAAAAAATTATGATAAAATTTTACAAAATAAAATTAACAAACTAAAAACTCATGTTAACCAATTTGATTTTTATAACAGTGCAGTGCCGGTTTAAGTTATTTCGCCGCCCGGTTCTGGCACAATCACAACGCCCAATACTTTAAAATATTACTTTTTTAAAAACATTTTTAAATTTTTAAGTCTTACTTTCTCACGTCAAGTGGAAGATTAGGTTGGTTAGGCTGGTATCTAACAGTAAACTTAGTATCCTATAAAATATAAAATGAGCCTTTATAAACAAATTATAAAAACTACCTAATCAAAAGCACTAACTAAAAAATAAAACATTCTTTGGTTTATATAAACAATACTAAGTACTAAGAAAAACTAATTAAAAAATAAAAGTTTAATATTTTGTTTCATTAAACTAATAAAAACTAATCAAAAGTTATAAATAAATAAAACATTATTCTTTGGTTTAATAAATATTGAGAAATCCTAATACTTATAATTAAAAGGTTATTTTCAAGTCTTTATAGTAGCAAATTGTTTTATAACACTTTACATTTATTTCATCTAGCAGGTCTTGATAAATGGACAGAATTGCTAAGGAGTTAAATCTTTCTTGGGGAATTGTATTTCTTAGGTGGTTCTTTACCCTTTTTAGAGTAGAGAAAGATCGTTCACCACTTGCATTTGAAACCATTATAAAAAAAAATTCGCAGACAAATATTAATATTCGGAAATGAAGATATTAATTTATTTTCGTATAAAACTTATACTAATTCCAATGGAGTTTCTATTTTTATTTCCGAAAGGGAAGTTACCAGTTTCTTGAATTGGACACATTTTTGAGAAAAAAATTCTATGCTTTTAGATTAAACAAAAATTCAAATTTATTTGTGCCAGATTTCTAGCTATCATATCGACAAATGATTTCGAATTATAGATTGTCAATTATTAAAATAAAACATGTTATTTTCTTTAAATTGTAATTTTCTTATGATTATCCGCTTCTGAGCATAATTTTCGTTTCCTGTTAATTTCCTCGTAATGATCAAAATGATCACGTAAAAAATCAAAGTTCTCAACTAAAAATGACAAAAGATAAGCATTTGTGCTTAAATCCATATTTTGTTTTTGGACTGCTTTATTGGTTTCATTAACCCTTTGCAAAACGTCCATCCAAAAAGTTAAAATTATTCCGTTTCCAATAAATTAAGTTTTTCTGATGGAGAAGCTGCTTCAACTCTACCAACATTTTTCTCATTTGTATCCGTTGTATCCGCCGACGCAGTGTCGCAATAATTTTTTTCTAAATTCTAACGATTAAGTATTTTTTTTTTAATTATGGGCGGTACGCGGTACCGCCCCAAAAATATTTACCGCCCGGTGCTATAGTCCCCAAAAAACCCCTGTTAAACCGGCACTGTAACAGTGTACGTATCCCCCAACTGCACAGCAGTGTTAGATAGATACAAATTTTACCCCAGCTGCTAAATATTGGGAAATCGTGGACGACAGTGTCGATGGTTAAGACCCCTTCCGGTATTTTGTCGCAGGGCCGGGCCATACGTACGATTTTTTTGCCTAGTGGAGTTCGGGACAAGGAGGAAAAGCATTTTGGTTTTCGGGGGACGATAGACTGAACCAAAACTAAGTAAAATCCGGAGTGCCCCTAGACCCGGACTTTAGTAACACCCACATTCAATTGGGGTTTATAAATGGAGTGTGGTTGGTTAATACGCTGTTTCTTGTGGTACTTCTTGTTTGTCTGCACCCGGGTCACTGCTGAAATTATGATGAAAATTTGGTAACCACTTTAAAATTGTTTGCTCCACTGTACCGAATTTTCGTGGAAAATTGATTTGTTTATTCCAAGTACTGAGACGATGCACCACACTTATCCAACTCACTGTGCGGTCGTCTACACTGAA